GCATTTTTCCTCTACAGATTTATAACTTCCAAATTCTTGCATCAATTTTTTGGTTTACAATTTCATTGTTCATTGGTAAGTTTTTTTTTTTTTTTTTTTTTTAAGCCAATATGGTGTTCAGAATCAAATTCTGTTAATTTTGAAGATAACTTTATCAGGATGTTGGTTACTATATGTCGAATGATAATAGGGATCCTTGAGGCATATTGTATATTAAGCTTCAGAGGAAAAAAAATTGCAGAATGATGTCCACTCATTCTCTTGCCAATAACAGATGTTACATTCAAAGACCTTTCTTAGTTGATTTATCTTTGTGTTGGAGCTTTTCCTTTTGATGGTTTGCAGAAAAATATTTTCAGTGTGAAAGAACAAATCATTAAAATCTTTGTTGCTTAATTACTTGGAGGATTATTATTTTGAATGAAAAAACTCACCTAATCAAGTAATTATCTTTGAAACTTTAGACATTGCTAATAGATGTTCCCTGATTTTGATTCTTGTTCAAAATACTGATGCATTATTCTTTTTAGTCCTTTTCACAGTGGTAATAGTAATAACTCAAACAAAATCTCTCAAACTATATAAACAGCCAAAAATACTGGATGAATTCAGTTGAAATTAGATATATGCATACTTTTTGACTCCTGGAATTCAGTAGTCTCTTTGAATTGAAATAAATTTTTTGAAAAGAAAAATGTTTTAATATATATCTAATAAATGAATAGTGATAATCTGCCACTACAATATCAATGGCTTTTTATGATTATTCATAGTAGAGGGAATAGTGATTGGTGTTATGCAAAATTGAGTAATCATTAATATGTTTCTAGTATACAGCATGTAATGTGTTTAATTATGTTATATATAAAATTAATCAATAACATTAATTTTGAAATTATTTAAAATTGTGTTGATATATTTAATTTATATATACATTTAGAGATTAATGATCAGTCACTTTTTAATTGTTTTACTATAAGAGGTTTTCAAGAATACTTATTTGATATGATCTTTTGTATTTAAACATCATGGCCAAAAAAAATAAGGTGGAGTTTCACTGGTGGTCATATTGATTATATTGTAATATGAGAAAAAATGAAAATATCAATTGTATTTTAATTTTGTGCAGAACTTTTTAAAATGTTCAACTTTTACAGATATATATTTTCCTGCAAGTACAAGTATAATTACTCTTATTTAGAATTCTTGAGATTGATTTTTATTTATATTTAAAATGGAGTCCAGTTGAATGTTTAGTAGTTAGAGGTATTTATAGCTCATAAATATGCATATTTCTTTTGTGTTTACTTACTACTACCATAATGTCTTTTATTGCAATAGACTAGGTTTGTGGGGTGGTGGATCTGCTAAGTGATAGCTGAGATCATATGACCATAGCAAAAAAAAAAAAAAAATAGACGTTACTGAAAGGCATTACACAATTGAAGTGAATTATCTTGAAGCAAAAGAAAGAACCTATATATAGGTATATTTTTATTAGACTTTTATGTTATAATGCTCATTTCAGAATTACATTTACTATAAAACAGAGCTTTTTTTATTATTATTTCACCCCAAACAAGACAATAAAGCCACTAAGATGCAAGAGGTTACTGAGTGAAAGAATATGAGAAAAAGAAAACATCATTAAGGAGAGAGGACAATAAAAGAATAGAAGATAACAATTGACATTGGATTTAAATTTTTGAAGATCAAAGTTGACTGGGAAGCAAGAAATGAGAAGAGGGTTTCACAAGTGAGAAGTGGAAGAAAAGAATCTGTTAGCATAGAACTTATGGGGACATCAAGCTATTTCAACTGTAAAATGATGAGACCTAGCTACCAATCTAGTACTGCACGTAAATTCATAAAGTTGAAAGCTCATCAGAACAATTACCATAAAAGTATTTATGGAAAAGGCATAGTGAAACTTGGTTACAGCAGTGGGAAAGTGACTGAAGCTGAGATACCAGGTCAGGACAGATAACATTGCAGATTCTTCTTTGTATTTTATCAAGAATCTTTAAATACAGCAGAAGCACCAGACCAAATGTAGCAGCAATATTCAATGCATAATTGAACAATAGGCTTATAAATATGTAAGATAGGTTCTGGTAAGAAAAATTATCTAGCATGACACAGTGAACCAACTTTCCTAGTAGCAGATTTAACAATTGATTCAATTAGCTATTCTGGCTAATCCCATTAGTTTTGATATAATGCAAAGTCAACCATTTAATAGGTATTTCTCTGTGTTTTTTTTTTTTTTATTGGAATTCTTGAAGGTGAGAGGATAAATTATTAATAACTGCTTCCAAATCCTGAAATAAACTGCTAAATGAAACTATAGCAATTTTAATATTTGTGCAATCAATGTTTGCAGTATAATCTGTTTTGTTTGACATAATTTATTGTAATTCATTATTTATTGTGTTTATTTTTTAAGATCACTTGGTTGCAGTTAATAATGTCTAGCAGTGAAAATACATTTGATGTATCTGCTTATTAGTTTTTTCCCCCATTATTGGCCACCTGAAATCAATGCTTATCACTTAGACAAACCATTTTATTGATATCAATAATGTTGTCCCTGTCTATGGTTTTCAACTTTTAGTCTTCAAATCAATCGAGCCATTTCCCCCAAAGACATTGAATTCATTTTCAAATTTGACAAAATCAGAGTTGAAAGTCATTCATTAAAAAAAGATTTTTTTTCTTTTTAATTATTATATGTGTTATGATAGAAAATAAACTTGTTTACATTTATTTGGAAGGGGAAAAAATAATCAAAATTGTGGAGAAAATATTCAGGACTCTTGAGTTAAAGAGTAAAACATAATTAATCGGCAATGTTTAAGCTCTGTCCCTGCAAAATAAATGATGTGTCACTGGAATAACATCGACACTGTTATTACTGTATACACTTTTGACTCCTTCAGCAATGTTTATTTTAAAAAGAAATGATTAGGATTTATTAAAACCTAAACATATAAAAGTGGATTTTCTTTATTCTTGCTAATTGACAACAAAGATATTAAACACTATTTATTTGATTGCTTATTTACAAGTATAATTTTATATTTGCAAGATATATAGAAATATGTGAACCAACTGTAATGAAATATTTATAATTTACCATTTTATAAAGAAATAAATATGAAAAAAATTTATTCATAAATTTATAAAAATGTGTGAACAAGAAAATTTAAATAAATACATAATGAAGAGTAACCATAATTAGAAATGTTGAAAAAAAAAAAATGCATTTTCCAGGCATTTTTCATTTGTTCTCACCACCTAAACTCCCTAAAACAGGTTGAGAGCATCTCTTCATCAATATTTTGACAATTTTGTAATTTTTTATAAATTTTTGAATAAAAAATATATTTCTTTTTAAAATTTATTTCTTTATGAAATGGTGAATAATGAATCTTTAATAAAAAGTTAATAATATCGCATTGTACTTGATTAACATATCTTTATAATCTTGCAAATAAACATTGCCGAGGGAATCTACCGTATACAATAATAGCAATGTCAAGGGAATAACCATCCTTTTGACATACCTTTTTTTTTTTTTTTTTTTTTTTTTTCTTCTTTTACAGGCACAAAGGTTAAACATTGCCAAATAATCTATCGGTCATGTGTCATACGTGATACATGCTTAGGTGATCATGTATCTTTCGATACATGACTGATGAGGCAGATTTTTTTCCTGCAGTAGGTTGCCATTTCTTTCTGTGGTAGACTAGTTGCCATCCAAGGCTATAGAACCCAGTCTGTCCTGCTATTTACCCATAGCTGAGGGGAGAAGAGTATTCATACCTTTCCCAAGGGTATTAGCACCTAAGAGAATGTAATGGATTCCACTGGAATTCGAACTCTGCTCTCTCAATCCAAGCCACTATCCATTACTCCACCATGCCTCTCCATATAATCTATAAACCTCTTATTTTATTTCTGTTAATAATAAATGTAAACAGAGCAATAATCTTTAGGGAAAGGGTAATCCTTACATTTCCAACTATTGGTATATTATGGCAAATTTATATAATTCTTTTGAAACAATTTATGAAAAAATATTGACTCAAATATTGAATCTTAGTATAAGACTAAAAATAATTCATATTTTGAAAACTGTTGAAGAGAAAACTTCACTTGATTTTTTGGTGTGTATATCATAGTTGAGTGTCTGCATTGTTGCTTAGTTTTTTGCGCACACACACACAATATTTTATAAAAAATATTTCATTGTAGGTGAGTAGTAGTTGATCATACTATTCCTTTTGTTCTCTTGTCATATTTGTATAGTATTGTCATTTATTTATTTTTTTTATTTTTTTTATTTTCAAGTGCAAAGCTTTTGGCATTTTTCAGCAGTAAATATTACATTTCAATTGTTGAAACTTTAATAATTCTTTCCATCTTGTCAATTTTGTATTGAATTTGGACTTTTTTGTGATATTCACTTTAAGCCATAAAAATGAAAGGAAAAGATTTTGTTGATCAGAGTAAGTTGGACTTGGATTATTCAAGAGTAAAAATCCCAGATCATAAAAATTGTTTTTGTTTGGCACTACTGATTATTATTGGTGGTGTTAATAGCTAAGCAGGAATTTATCTCCATTTATTGTGATATTAGATTTATAGATACAGCACAGAAATGATTGCAGATCAAGAGGTTTACTTAGACTATCATTCCAAGTCAGTGGGTTCTAAATTAGTGAAATTCAAGCTATAAAAAAAATTTGAATAGTATTTTACATAATTACTTGGTTAATTTCATTTCACCGAGAGACTTGCTTTTGCTATATTTAGAAACTTAAGACAACAACTCCTATTATGTCTTGAAAGTGTGTGCATGTGTAAAACAAAAATGCAGAATGCAAGGTCTTTTATTTCTTTCATTGAATTTTTTTTTGTCTTATTCACAGCAAAAGACTTGTGAGTAAACATAACCATTTCATGAATCCTCAAAGATATTAACAAAAATGTCTTGAATGTTCACAAAATTGAATGTTTTAATTACTTCTTTGGTTCACCTAAGGCTGGGTCATAGAGCACTCTCCTCTATATTTCTTTCCTCTATATGTAAATCACTCACTGCTCTATATTTCTTTCTCTCTCTCTTACTACTCAATATCTTCTCTCTGCAATATAAATGTATATATATATCTTGTGCTATATCTATATCTCTCTCTCTCATTGCTCTATATTTCTCTCTCTCTCTCTCATTGCTCTATATTTCTCTCTCTCTCTCTCATTGCTCTATATTTCTCTCTCTCTCTCATTGCTCTATATTTCTCTCTCTCTCTCATTGCTCTATATTTCTCTCTCTCTCTCATTGCTCTATATTTCTCTCTCTCTCTCTCATTGCTCTATCTCTCTCATTGCTCTATATTTCTCTCTCTCTCATTGCTCTATATTTCTCTCTCTCTCTCTCATTGCTCTATATTTCTCTCTCTCTCTCATTGCTCTATATTTCTCTCTCTCTCTCTCTCATTGCTCTATATTTCTCTCTCTCTCTCTCATTGCTCTATATTTCTCTCTCTCTCTCTCATTGCTCTATATTTCTCTCTCTCTCTCTCATTGCTCTATATTTCTCTCTCTCTCATTGCTCTATATTTCTCTCTCTCTCTCATTGCTCTATATTTCTCTCTCTCTCTCATTGCTCTATATTTCTCTCTCTCTCTCATTGCTCTATATTTCTCTCTCTCATTGCTCTATATTTCTCTCTCTCTCTCATTGCTCTATATTTCTCTCTCTCTCTATATTGCTCTATATTTCTCTCTCTCTCTCATTGTTCTATATTTCTCTCTCTCTCTCATTTCTCTCTATTATTTATATTTTCTCTCTCTCATTGCTCTATATTTCTCTCTCTCTCTCATTGCTCTATATTTCTCTCTCATTGTTCTATATTTCTCTCTCATTGTTCTATATTTCTCTCTCATTGTTCTATATTTCTCTCTCATTGTTCTATATTTCTCTCTCATTGTTCTATATTTCTCTCTCATTGTTCTATATTTCTCATTGTTCTATATTTCTCTCTCATTGCTCTCTCTCTCTCTCTCTCATTGCTCTCTCTCTCTCTCATTGCTCTCTCTCTCTCTCTTTGCTCTCTCTCTCTCTCATTGCTCTCTCTTTCTCTCTCATTGCTCTCTCTCTCTCTCTCTCTATATGTTCTCTATCTCTCTATATGTATGTTTTCTCTCTCTCTCTATATATATGTTCTATCTCTCTCTCTATATATATGTTCTATCTCTCTCTCTATATATATGTTCTATCTCTCTCTCTCTATATATGTTCTATCTCTCTCTCTCTATATATATGTTCTATCTCTCTCTCTATATATATATATGTTCTATCTCTCTATATATATATTTCTATCTCTCTCTATATATATCTCTCTCTCTATATATTTCTATCTCTCTCTCTATATATATATTCTATCTCTCTCTCTATATATATATTCTCTCTCTCTCTCTATATATATTTTCCTCTCTCTCTATATATATAGAGCTATCTCTCTCTCTCTATATATATATTCTCTCTCTCTCTCTATATATATTTATATCTCTCTCTATATATATATTTATATCTCTCTCTATATATATATTCTCTCTCTCTCTATATATATTTTTCTCTCTCTCTCTATATATATATTCTCTCTCTCTCTCTATATATTTCTATCTCTCTCTCTCTCTATATATATTCTATCTCTCTCTCTCTCTATATTTCTATCTCTCTCTCTCTATATATTTCTATCTCTCTCTCTCTATATATTCTATCTCTCTCTCTCTATATATATTCTATCTCTCTCTCTCTATATATTTCTATCTCTCTCTCTATATATATTCTATCTCTCTCTCTCTATATATTCTCTCTCTCTCTCTCTACTCTCTATATGTCTCTATCTATTCTCTCTCTCTATATGTTTTCTCTCTCTCTCTCTATATATATTTCTATCTCTCTCTCTCTATATATTCTTCTATCTCTCTCTCTATATATATTCTATCTCTCTCTCTCTATATATGTTCTATCTCTCTCTCTATATATATGTTCTCTCTCTCTCTCTATATATATGTTCTATCTCTCTCTCTCTCTATATATGTTCTATCTCTCTCTCTCTATATATATGTTCTATCTCTCTCTCTCTCTATATATGTTCTATCTCTCTCTCTCTCTATATATGTTCTATCTCTCTCTCTCTATATATATTCTATCTCTCTCTCTATATATATATATATCTATCTCTCTCTCTCTCTATATATTCTATCTCTCTCTCTCTATATATGTTCTATCTCTCTCTCTATATATTCTATCTCTCTCTCTATATTTCTCTCTCTCTATATATATTTCCTTTCTTCTCTCTCTCTATATTTCCTTTCTTCTCTCTCTCTATATTTCCTTTCTTCTCTCTCTCTATATATATATGTTCTATCTCTCTCTATATATATATTCTTCTATCTCTCTCTATATATATATATTCTCTCTCTCTATATATATATATCTATATATATATATATCTATCTCTCTCTCTCTATATATATATATTTCTCTCTCTCTCTATATATATATATTCTCTCTCTCTCTATATATATGTTTCTATCTCTCTCTCTCTCTATATATATTCTATCTCTCTCTCTCTATATATATATTTCTATCTCTCTCTCTATATATATATATTTCTCTCTCTCTCTCTATATATATATTTCTATCTCTCTCTCTATATATATATATATTCTATCTCTCTCTATATATATATATATTCTTCTATCTCTCTCTCTCTATATATATATTCTATCTCTCTCTCTCTATATATATATATATATTCTATCTCTCTCTCTCTCTATATATATATTTCCCTCTCTCTCTCTATATATATATATGTTCTTTCTCTCTCTATATATATGTTCTATCTCTCTCTCTCTCTATATATATATGTTCTATCTCTCTCTCTATCTCTCTCCTATATATATATCTATCTCTCTATCTATATATATATATTTCTATATATATCTCTCTCTCTCTATATATATATGTTCTATCTCTCTCTCTATATATATATGTTCTATCTCTCTCTCTATATATATATGTTCTATCTCTCTCTCTCTATATATATATGTTCTATCTCTCTCTCTCTATATATATATGTTCTATCTCTCTCTCTCTCTATATATATATATGTTCTATCTCTCTCTCTATATATATATGTTCTATCTCTCTCTCTCTATATATATATGTATTATCTCTCTCTCTATATATATATGTTTTATCTCTCTCTATATATATATATTCTTCTCTCTCTCTATCTATATATGTTTCTATCTCTCTCTCTCTATATATATATATTTCTATCTCTCTCTCTCTATATATATGTTCTATCTCTCTCTCTATATATATATATGTTCTATCTCTCTCTCTATATATATATATATGTTCTATCTCTCTCTCTCTATATATATATATGTTCTATCTCTCTCTCTCTATATATATATATATGTTCTATCTCTCTCTCTATATATATATATATTTCTCTCTCTCTATATATATATATGTTCTATCTCTCTCTCTATATATATATATATGTTTCATCTCTCTCTATATATATATATATTCTATCTCTCTCTCTCTCTATATATATATATATTCTTCTATCTCTCTCTCTATATATATGTTCTATCTCTCTCTCTATATATATGTTCTATCTCTCTCTCTATATATATATATGTTCTATATATATATATATATATATATATCACTCTCTGCTCTATATTGTCTTTCTCTCTCACAAAAACAGGAAAGACAAGAAAGAAAATAAAAGCAAGAAGGAAAGAAATAGACAAATTAGTCTCTTCTCCAAAGAAAAGACTATATCTTGTGTCTTTCTTTCCTTCTTGCTTTTATTTCCTTTCTACTGTTTTTCTTTTTTGAAGAGACTATATCTTGTCTTTTCTCTTTTTTGACTGTATTTTGTCTTTCTTTTTTCTTTATAGATGAGACTATATCTTATGTCCTTTCTTTCTTTCATACTCTTCTTATTTTCTTTTTTTTGTGTGTGAAAAGAGATTGTAAGTAAATATTAAAAATTGTAATAACCCTCATTTACCACTGCCTGATGAGATGCAATGATATGCATCGAAGCATGAATGCATTTATGTAGCAGTTTTACATATATGTTAGAATGTAATATCTTATAATTGTGTGTGTGTATATATATATATATATATATATATATATATAATTATTATTATTAATTAATGAATATCAAACTTAAAATTATGGAATTTTAAGTGTTTGATATTCATTAATTAATAATAATTTTGCTCTGTCTCTGATATAGAGCTCTTCTTGGATCTATATTCTATTGAAAATTCCATACAGATTATCATTTTATTTATATATATATATATATATATATATATATACACACACACACACTATCTATCAGTAACAGCAAAATTTGTGCTGTTGTATCTTAGAAATGATTAAAGATATATTACTGGAATTTTCCGAGGTTTTTATAACTCTATTGAACTCTATATTGAGCAATATGAATGTATAATTACTCTCCAAGCTTAACAGAAGAATCGTTATGAAATTGATCATAGATGAAAATGACATGTTCATCATTAATTAATCATAGCTAAGGATTGGAAGCTTATTAAGGATTGAATTAAATTTCAAATATATGTATTATTTCAGGATCGTTTTCCAACTTATTCAAGATGATCTTAGCCCTCTCTAACCTAACTTTCTGTCAGTGTAACGAGGCAAGGATCTTTCAAGTACAATTTCATTTTTAATTTTTTTTTTTTTTTTTTTCACTGCTTTTTGGACTGTCATAGCTGAAATTCCTCTCTCAGGTGCCAAATGTCTTATGGATTGAGTTAGATTTTTTCTAACTGATCTCTTTAGCCCTAAGTTGACATGATGATCCTTCTTTCTGTTGTGATCTCCTAATCCAGTTTTCCTCTCTGCTGTTCCCTCTTTTTTTAAACTTATTCACCATTCTCTTGATGGTTCTTGAATGGATTTGAAGATGGAAGCCAGAATATGAATGTTGGTACCATTACTGAAAGTGTGAATTATCTTTTTCCTCTCACCATTGCTCAATTGAGAAGACAGTGGGTCTGACACAAAATGATTTTAACCTGTTCTCTTTTTAGCTGAATAACTCAGTTTTTCAGTGATTCTTACAATAAATGGTGTCAAGATGGCTAAACATCTTATCTAAAGACCTAGAAAAATGAAAGTCAATTAGTTTAGTGTTTTTTTTTTTTTTTTTTTTTTTTTTTATTTTTTTTTTAAGATATTAAACATTTTGTAGGATGGATAATTATGCTGTTACACACTTTGGACAATTTCAGTGTTACTTCCAGTGTGTGTGTGTAATTATATATATATATATATATATATATATAAGTGGACATTGGGATCAATCCCCAGCAGCAACAGTCTGTTTCATGCTTAGACGCAATTGTCAGGTCATCCTTAATTATATGTATAATCTGCCAAAAGGAATCTATTATGAGATAAGGATGTTTTTCTTATTTGTGTTCAGTATGTTAGTACTTTTATTATTTGAGATGCCTGAATATAGGTTCAAATGGCTAAGATTATCCGAATGTCATCTAATATATTAATTTATATAAATTTTTAATGGACCTTGTTGCTACCTTTTTATAGGCTTGCACACATGCATTCATATCTCTCTCTTATATATATATAAAAACTATGGACAATTCCTGTATTTTTTAACTCTTAAAAACATAAAAATGTTAGATTGCTGGAAAAACTCAATAAAAGACTAATTAAATCTTCCTTTTTGGCCGTTTTCAATGATCAAAAAGTGGTCCATGTGTGCTTCTTATAATATGTAAAAATAGGCTGGTTAATAAAACCAAGACAACTGAAAGGGTACCAATAAAATCAGTATAATAAACATTTATTAAACATTAACCATATTGACAGAAATGAAGCATGAAGAGAGAGGTTTTCGAGGAATCAGACAGAGATCTGGTTTTTGCTAATAATATAATTTCCACTGGAAAATACCCCATCAACAAAAACACCTGTTGGTGAGTAATTCCCATTTCTCTGTTTCAATCTTGGACCATTAATGAAGGACACAGGCATGTCTGAAAATTCTGAATATAAAACCTTTCTCTCCATGCTTCATTTCTGTCATGGTTAAT